CTCATTTACCTACTTAAAATAAGGATAAATATACTTAATTTAAGAAATTTTTACTTATTTCTAGATCGTTTTTGCAGTGCAGATCTCTGATATCAGATGGAGCTTGGCCATTTAAGGCTTTATATGTGAGAAGGAGGATTTTGAAACCCTAAGAAGATTAATTGCTGTTTTTATGTATAACACTTGTTTCCTTCAATGATCAAACACGTTAAACTCCACAGGTGCTTCAACCGGACTCCTGGGAACTAACACTAATGATGCAGGCGATGATTTTCCTTTACCTGATGGATCTCAAGCTCAGACACTGGAGGATTTCTTCCATGGCTGGAAGGTAGGATTAGTAAAACATGTTTTCTTCTATAGATCCTTGTTTTTGTGGAGTTTCGTTTATCTGTTGTTCTCTCCTGTTTATTTGTGTCTTCAGCTAAATTCAAGCTGCACTAAATACACAGAAACAAAAGAGCGAAGTTCCCAAGCCGCCATGAGGGCTGCCAGCTGTGAATCTCTGTTTTCTTCCCCTGATTCTCTCCTCAGTTCCTGTTTCAGGGTGGTAAGTAAAAAAGGAAAATTTATTTCTTATTCTTAAGTCGCTTTCTAGATTGTTTATTTCTGATTGGATATTTCAAATTTAGAGAATTCAAGTAAAATTTATCAAAATTCGGGATGAATTCAATGTTAAAGAAAGGAACATAATTTGCAAAGCACAAAGTGAATACGTGTTTTTCTGTCAGGATGTGAGGAAGATGGCAGCTGGAGTCAAAAAGCAGAAAGGGAGGCAGAGATTAGTTCTGTTAGATTTAATGATGAAGGCAGCGGTAGTTTAAATCCAAAGTAATGAAGACGGGAACACGACCAATAGGAGGCTGACAGGAACTGATGAGTACGTGAAATAAAATGACGATCCTGCAAAGACAAACTGCAGAGGAAGGGATAAATAAACGCTGTCTAGAGACTAACAGGACAAAGATTGGAGTACGGATCTGTGTGGGAACAGGTGTACAGAGAAAGAACAAGAAAACCAATGAGAAGGAAGGCGACACTAGGGGGCGATGAAGAGTAAGCGCCAATTCACAACATGTCATCTCAAGGCACTTTACAATTTAACAACATAGATGTATACCAAAAAACCAATCAAATGTATACACTAAAAAAACGATC